AATAAGCACAGGCCCGGGCAGGGAGGCACCAACACACGGTCCACGGCTCTAAAAACAAACGCCGCCAAGTTCACCAAGCCAAAAGATGAGCGCGACGTCAGCGGGTGATATTTTGATGCTCTTATTTTTCCTGTAAAGGAACAAGAGATGATTGTCGGGTGAGAATAAACCCCTCAAAGCCACAACTCCTTCCAGATGCTTTGAATTTGTAGCATTCCAGCAGTAAAAGAGCGATTCATTCTTTTCTGGACGTCTTTTTGTTTTTTAAAACTGGCATTCGGAGCAGCTGAGTGAGTGGGAAGGACCATTTCTTCAAACTGTGACTTAAAATGTTAACAGGATAATAAAATAAAGCTACGTATGTTGAAGAAGAGAAATGAAAATCTGAGAGACAGCTTAAAGTCGAGTCACAACACACACAGAGAATCCTCTGTCGCTGGGACGGAAAATCCCGACAATAATCTGGGAAAGTCCTGGATCCGGGGGATTTCAGTGCCCTTGTAAAACAGCAGACTTTGTAAATAAGCACTCGAGTCTCGTGTGTGTGTGTGCACCAGGATTCTAACATTTTGACTGAGTCATTTGAACAATAAATATAGAAATGTATGGTGACAAAGTAAAAGGAAAGATACAATGAGAAAAATAAGAAACAAAATGTAATTTCACAATAGAAAATATTTTTATATTACCAATTAAATGGCCCTTAAATCTTTGTATTGAGTTTATAGTAAAAAAAATCAAATTTTATTTTGAATTTTCAAATTTTCAATTTTTTTGTTTCTGCATTTGATTTTTATTTTGTTAATTAAATATTGTTCATTGCAGTGTAATAAAAAAATTTAATTAATTTCTTACATTAAGAAACTCTGCTGCATGGACTTTACTAAATTCTTTTTTTAAGCTTCCGCGGGCCGAATTTTGCCCCCCGACCATGAGTTTGACACATGTGGAGTAGAGAGTTAGCACACAAATGTAGCTTGTGTCCGAAAGAGCAGACAAGGATTTGGCCAAACGGGGGAAGAGGTCGTGGGACCATGTATCCTTCCAGTCACTGACACCTGTGACAAAGGTAGAAATAAACTTTTCTAGCAGGTTTCATGCAGCGTCAAGCAGTGAAGGTTGTTCTTGTACATAATTATTTGTCGTGTTTCCACTGCAGGGTCAACACCGACCGTCGAGTCTTTCCGAAAAGACCTGCATCTGTCACGACACCGGCCTCGTCGAGGTTCAAATCAAAAGGTTTTAAATCAAATCAACCAGAGTTCAAACCTAATATCGCAGTGACAGTGAAACATCGACAGAATGGTTGGCTTTGTCCGTTTGTCTGACACTATTGATCCTCACGCGTTCCACTTCCTTCAATCCATTCTTGTTACCTCTAATTAAGACAACACTCCACACGCCTCCTCTGCAGCTGAGGCCCAACCTGGAAACCTCACAAACACACACACACACACACACACACAGGCTCAGCTAATACGTACATGCATCAGTCCACTGAACCATAGTTTGGTTAGCTTTTCCCAAAATAGGCTTCTCCCTGTGGATTTATCAGAGCTTCGCCCCCTGCAGGCCCTGCCCTGTTTAGGCTTGTCTTGCATTCACACACACGTATGCTTGTGAATACACCCAGAGGTCCCTGACATAGTGGCTAATTATGCCTAATCCTAATCCCTACCATAACTCTAATCTGACAAATATCTAATCCCAGCACCTCAAATTTTCCTCACACTCAGTGGGAACGAGAAAACGTCCCCAGGAAGACAGTGTCCCTACTATAATGGTATTGTCCATAAATGTGTCCCCACAAGTAGGGCGTTACCAGAATCACACAAACACATTCTGTTTTTCATGGCTTGTGAGTTCAACACCTGTACCCTAAACTTGACCATTAAAATTATAATCTAATCTTAGTCCCTATTTTAATCCTAATCCAAACTAAAGGACAAAGGGTCCAAAACATTTTACCAAAAAAAAAAAAGACCCCACAAGGATAGCTAAACTGTACCTATAATACACTTCCGTTCAGGAGGATGAATATTACTGTTAGCATTTAGAGTAACTGACTAAATATACATCAACATGAGTCCTGGGGACACAGACACTGACACTGACACACAGTGTCAGTGTCTGTGTCAGTGTTAACGTTGACATCAACAGAGCAGAGAAGTCTTTCACACTTTTTGACGACGTCAGCACGTTATTCCGTAACACTCCCAGGTTATGAAACACTCCGGTCCCAGATGGATCTGCCCACCTGTTTCTCTCTGCGCTCACACACACTGTCACAGACACACTGTGGCAATATCAACGCACACACACACACACAGTCAGTCAGCGCTGTAGTTCATCATGACGACCAGCAGTCGTTTCTTACTTCAATGTTCTTAAATCCTAACTGTAATTAATATGGAAACGATTTTGACTCAGTTATTCTTCAAAGTATAACATTTTTTTAACATGTATCAGTAAAGACCGATTATGAAAAAGGGCTTCACAACTGCAGCCACAGTGCCTCCTACAGGGGAGACAGGGGAGCTACACGTTCTCTATTCAATTTTATAGATTAATCTTTTTATTATTAATTAAAGGTCAAACACCAGGCGACAATTTGTGACACAATAACCATTAATTAACGCCTTTGATTGTACTAATTACGTACTTCCACATTCCAATTTTATTGTCCGTGTTTATGTGTGTGATTTTGTATTTTTGTTAGTCTTCACATGCCGTTCCCTTCACCATACAACAAATACAACAACAACAACAACAACAACAGCAACAACAACAACAGCAACAACAACAACAACAACAGCAACAACAACAACAACAACAGCAACAACAGCAACAACAACAGCAACAACAACAACAACACACTATCAAAAATACTGCAGTACTATTATATTTATATATAAATCAGCAGAGCGAGTGGCAGGACGCAGTGAATGGAGGGTGGGAGTGGCTGTAAAATCAAGGGTGGGGCGGCGAGTGTGTGTGTGTGTGTGTGTGAATGAGTGATTGTGTGTCGAGGTTGTAAATTAGTATTTATTTTTGTAAGAAAAGCAACACCCACCTCCCACTCTCACATTTTCAGCTTGAACCCCATGAATGGTAAACTGCAGGTGAGGACAAAGACGAATGGTGGGAGGGGGAGGGGGGTAGAGGGGGGGGTTAGGACCACTGAGC